GGTAGTCGCTTGCGTCGCGGTGTTGTAAGCGAAGGTAACAAAAGGCAAGACAGCGTCCCAGTTAGTGTGGTCGGAGGAGGTGTACATCCTCAGCATGTCGCCAAGTGTGCGGTTGAACCGTTCAGTGAGACCATTCGTCTGTGGATGGTATGCGGTAGATTTCCGGTGGATGATGTTGCATTCAGCGAGAATAGCTTGGATGACCTCCGACAGGAACACTCGACCCCTATCACTGAGTAATTCCCGTGGAGCCCCATGGCGGAGAATGAAGCTGCGGAGAATGAAGAGTGCAACTTCGTGGGCGGTCGCTGCTGGTAGAGCTGCAGTCTCAGCGTAGCGTGTCAGATGATCGACGCCAACAATAATCCACCGGTTTCCAGAGCGACTATATGGGAGGGGGCCATAGAGATCGATACCCACGCGGTCGAATGGGCGAGCCGGGCATGGGAGCGGCTGTAACATGCCAGTAAGGTGCCGCGGAGGTGTCTTGTTCTGTTGGCAAGTGGTGCATGACTGAACGTATTTCTGCACAAAGCGATACATTCCTCGCCAGTAATATCGTTGGCGCAGCCTTTCGTAGGTTTTCAGGACACCTGCGTGAGCACTTTGAGGGTCTGCATGGAAATTCATGCAGATGTCAGAGCGCATATGAGTTGGGACAGCAAGGAGCCACTTCCGACCACCAGGCATGTAGTTGCGGCGGTACAGAATGCTGTCTCGCACGGAAAAGTGGGCTGCTTGTCGGCGTAGCGCTCTCGTGGAAGGGACAGCAGACGGATCGGTAAGGTAGTCGAGTAACAATGCAAGGTATGGATCTTTACGCTGCTCCGAAAGCATGTCAGTGGTGTCTATTGGTGACAAGGTGGTAAAAAGTGGTGACAGAGAAGCCACATCTGGGGTCAAAGGCGATCGCGAAAGTGCATCGGCATCTGCATGCTTGCGACCGGAACGATATACTACACGGATGTCGTATTCTTGCAATCGAAGTGCCCAACGTCCCAGGCGTCCGGACGGGTCTTTCAATGTGGACAGCCAACATAGAGCGTGGTGGTCTGTGACCACGTCGAAAGGGCGGCCGTAAAGGTACGGGCGAAACTTCGTCAAGGCCCAGATTATGGCCAAACACTCCTTCTCTGTCACGGAGTAATTCAACTCAGCCTTCTTGAGAGCGCGACTTGCATAGGCGACTACGTATTCGGGTTGGGTGCCTTTCCGTTGTGCCAAAACTGCACCAAGACCGATGCCACTTGCATCGGTGTGAATTTCTGTGGCAGCAGCGGGGTCGTAGTGACGAAGAATGGGTGGTGAGGTCAGCAGGCGGCGCAGCTGGCGAAATGCGTCGTCACATGCAGGTGACCATGCAGATATACCTTTGCTGTTGGAGAGCAGACTTGTTAGAGGTGCGATGATGGACGCGAAGTTGGGCACAAAGCGACGAAAGTACGAGCAGAGACCGACGAAACTTCTTAGAGCTTTCAGTGATGTGGGCAACGGGAAGTCAGCGACAGCCCGAAGCTTATCGGGATCCGGAAGAACACCGTCTCTTGTGATGACATGTCCCAAGATGGTTAGTTTTCGTGCTGCGAAGTGGCACTTTTTGGAGTTAAGTTGTAGGCCCGCAGAAGTTAGACACGTCAGAATCTCGTGGAGGCGAATAAGATGTGTCGGGAAATCAGACGAAAAGACTACGATGTCGTCCAGGTAACACAAGCAAGTTTTCCACTTATGGGCACGCAAGATGGTATCGATCATGCGCTCAAATGTGGCAGGTGCGTTGCAGAGCCCAAATGGCATAACTTTGAACTCATATAGACCATCTGGCGTTACAAAGGCTGTTTTAGGGCGATCACATTCAGCCATTGGCACCTGCCAATACCCAGAACGCAGATCCAAGGATGTAAAGTACTCGGCGCCTTGTAAACAGTCAAGAGCATCGTCTATTCGTGGTAGCGGGTAGACATCTTTCTTCGTAATCTTGTTTAAGCGGCGATAGTCCACGCAAAATCGAACGGTGCCATCTTTTTTCTTGACCAGAACGACAGGTGATGACCAAGCGCTTTGAGAAGGCTGTATCACTCCACGTTTAAGCATGTCGTCTACTTGCTCCGTAATGACGCGGTGCTCTTCGGCGGAAACGCGGTAAGGACGCTGTCGCAGAGGCAAATGTGAGCCGGTGTCAATAGTATGAGTGATAGTCGTGGTGCGGCCCAAAGCAGGTTCTTGAAAGTCGAAAGAAGAGCGAAACTTGTTAAGGAGAGCAACAAGTGGCGGCGATGCGAGAGGGGAAGGTCTGCGTCAATAGCATTGTCGAAGGCTGACAAACTTGATGGCTCAGACGCATGAGTTATTGCGGCAATGTGACATGGCGTTTCGTCGGGAGGAATAATATCATCGATATGGTCGACAGGTTGCACATATCCCAACGTTTCACCACGAAGCAAGCTGATGGGGTAGTTGCAGTGGTTGGTAACCAGCATTACGGTTAAACCAGATGCAATTGTAAGAACGGCAAATGGGAGAACGATGCCCTTGCGTTCAGTAAAAACAGGAGATGGCGTAAAGACCACCGTGGCGTCAGGTTGCGCCACACATGAAAGGCTTACAGGGACCGAAGCTTCCGGGGGCAAGGTGATGTCGTCGTCAGCGATGAGTTTGCAGAGCCGAGGAGACCGGTCGGGTGGTGGAAATTCATATGTTGGCACAAGGGACACTTCGGCACGGGAACAATCGATGATAGCTTCATGACCTGATAAGAAATCCCAACCGAGGATAAGGTCATGAGAGCAAGATGGCAGAACAAAAAACTGTACGACGTACAAAACATCTTGGATGACGACGCGCGCCGTACACAGAGCCGAGGGATGAATGCGTTGCGCACTAGCCGTGGACAGCACCATGCCACAGAGAGATGTGGTCACTTTCTTCAGTTTCCGACAAAATTTGACGTCCATCACAGAAACGGCGGCCCCGGTATCAATTAACGCTAATGTTCGACTCCCTCAACATCGACATCAACAACATTTTTCGGCGAAAACGGAGGCCTTGGGAATTGCGCACAAGTTGCAGTTCTTGCCTCCGGAACTGCACTGATTAGTTTCCCTCCTCAGGAGGTGGTCGGCGACGCATAGGCGATGGCGACCGGCGACGAGGGGATGGGAAACGAGCAGTCGATGGGCGGCGATCCGAGTCTGAGTGCCTCTGTTCATATGCAGATGCGGTGGCCTGCTGCGGCGCGTAGGTAGGAGTTCCGAAGTATGCGTTTGCAGGTGTGGGGCGACGGCGGCAGAAGCGTGCAATGTGGCCAGCGATGCCACAGGCGAAGCAGATGGGACGATTGTCTTGAGTGCGCCACTCATTAGATCGATGGAAAAAGCGAGGTGAGGACCTGTAAACTGGAGGCGATGCCGGAGGAGGTGGAGCTGATAAGGCGACTGGATGCGGTGGGGGCCGCGTGACCACAGCTGCGTAGCTGAGAGGTGAAGGTGGTGCGTAGCCGACAGCTGAGAGATTAGGCGCTACTGAAGTGCACGGGTAAGGGGCCTGCACTGTAGGGAGGACATCACAAATTTCCGTGCGTATGGCCTGCTGCAGTGTCGTAGGCAGGCTTGCGGTGGGCGCGTCGCTATGCGGCAGCAGGGAGAGCTGTCGGGCGACTTCCTCCCTGATGAAGTCTTTGATCTGGTTGGATAGACTTTCTTTGCAAACGTTGGCATTTGTGAGTGTGACTGCCGAGATCGATTCCGGCGGTAGGACACTCTGTCGGGCGATGGAACGCTGACGGCGCAATTCATCAAAGCTCTGGCAGAGGCTTACGAGGATTGCCACCGTGTTCGGGCTTTTCGCTAGCAACATCTGGAATGCGCCATCCTCGATGCCCTTGAGAATCTGCCGAATTTTTTCTTCTTCGGGCATAGATGGATTCACACGCTTGCAGAGGTCGAGCACGTCCTCTATGTAACTAGTAAACGTCTCGCCAGGCTGCTGGGCTCGGTGGCGCAGGCGCTGGTCAGCGCGGAGCTTGCGGACCTCTGGTCGGCCGAACGCTTCAGTGACGAGTGTCTTAAAGGAAGACCAGTTGGCGATGGCGGTTTCGCGGTTCGTAAACCAAAGTTTAGCTACGTCTGCCAAGTAAAATATAACGTAGGCGAGCTTAGAGTCGTTGTCCCACTTGTTACTGGCGCTTACGCGTTCGTACAAGGAGAGCCAGTCCTCGACGTCTTGCTCGCCACTGCCGCTGAAGATTGGTGGGTCCCGTTGGCGAGTAGCGCCGGGGCAGGTAGACGGGCAGCCGATGGTGCTGGCTGGGCTGGGACGGGCTGGTTGGCGACTGCGTCAGTCATGTTTTGCAGTGGTCTCTCGGGCAACTTGCGAGAGCGGAGCTCCAGGTCTGCTTGGGGATCTCAGCAGCCTCCACCAAATGTGATGACGTTTATTGAACCGGAGAAGTCGCAACGATGTCGCAACGAAAAATGGCCGTACGACAAGTCTGGCAAAAGGCGGCCCAGGTTCTCGTGCAATCAGAGCACGGGGTTTTTCCTTCTCTTTGGAAGGCGCATACACGTTAGTGCGTATGCTCCACTACACTAGCAAGTCATTAAGCAGGCTGAGAGTCACGTGACTTTTAGCCGATGAAACACGAAGCAATCTTTTCTCGAAACTTTCAACGCCACGAAAAATCCCCCCCCCCTTCCCTTCGCAGCCAACAATAAAGGGAAAAAAGTGTTCAGTTGTTTCTTTATTATCGAGTTTCTCGGCGCATCAGTTGCTTGATCTACATGAGTGCTACATGACAACAGTAAGATAAAGACACTTGCGGTGTTCCCATGTGCTACGCGTCGTCAGAGATTACAAATTGCCTGCTTGTCTGCGACGGTTGCTCTGCAGTGCTCGCGTCATCCGGCTAGCTCGCTTTTTGTTTTGTTTTTCCTAATCTGTCGCACGGGTGCACTTTGCGCTCCGGCCTTCCCGTCTAGCTAGTGTGGAATCGGTCGAGGCGTATATTGAAGCGAAGGGGGCGGTTTGCTTCTTTCGTTCACCGCCGTAACGCAACTGCAGGAACGGATCAAACATTCGTCCGGCAGCCGCGGGAGAAACAGATTCCCCGATGCCGGGCGTCTTTTGTTTCTTCCTGATAACAGGGTAGCTTGCTGTTCAACTCCCCCTTTCTACCTCCCCCCCAGATACACGGCCCAGCTGAGATTGCATCCGGTCCCGTCGAACGCAGCGAGATATCGCCGCAGCTGTAGGCAAGCCAGTCGGTGGCTGTCATTGTGGTGCCTTACGGTGTGGCGAACGCGTGCACTGGAAATGCGTAGACCTGCTTCGGAAGGACATCGCAGCGGAGCGCTTGCGGAATCGAATCTTTGACCTGCTGGGTGCAACTTGGCGGAACGTGGCCTTGGTGTGTTCAACGCTTGACAAGGAACTTTCGCCGGCCGGCGGAATGAGTGATTGTGGAAAACCTGTCAAACGAGTTCGTTACTTCGTTGCGTATCCCGCTTGTGTAGATAGCACTTGCGCACGCAATTAAAGCGTACACCGGTGTATGCCGGTTCGGCCAAGAAACTCCAGCAAGTCCCAAGTTGAAAGATGGTCTGACTGTGGCTCTACATTTCGTACCGAGTGCAGTTGCCTTTGGCGCGTCTAGAATCGCGGGAACAACACGGTCGACTCGGTTTCCGATAGGGTTGTTGGATTTTCTAAACGCTCATTCATAACCGGTGTACTCGAATCGTCTTCTGCGGCCGATCGTTCATGCAAAGACGCACCGGAACAGCTTCAGCGGTTTTGAACATCGCGATTTGCTAGACGACTTCCAGACATACGAGCAGTGGCTTTCAGAAGAAGACTTCGTCGTCTCGCAGCAGACGACATTCCGCAAGTGCTGCAGTAATTTCCACGTGACTTGCTGATCCAGACGACACTTGCGCAGGACACGACGGACAGGTCTGAACGCTATAGCTACCCAAGGGATTTTTAAGTGTTCTAGATAAATGAAAGAACTACCCACGTCCGGTCAGAGCATGGATTCTAAGGAGGCGGCGTTCTGGAGCAGCTACACGGCCGTGGCAACGCCCAACATCCAGGAGGAGATCCTCGTCCAACATTCGGCGCCCAGTAGGGCTTGGTTCAGCAAGACCGATTCCACCAGTGTGCCTCCAATCACCAGGAAGCAGTGGCTCATCATCGTGCTCATCTACTCTGGCAACTTCTGCGCCGCCATGAGCTTTTCGCTGCAGGCGCCGTTCTTCCCGAAGCAGGTAAGTAGTATGCTCGTTAGTTTCTGAAATGACGCATACGGTGCTTCTGTTCATGTGCAATATGCTCACAGATCGAAACGGGACAATTTAGGGCTGAGTAGCACGTACATTTTCGTTTCCACTATCTTCAGTTCAAATTGTATCGACGTGTACTATAGTCTTTAATCCAACGCATGCACCAACGCTAACGTTATCTTTAGAGACCAAATTTGTCGCGACATGATGTGGTTATGTTGAGAAATTGCGCGCAGCAGTCATTTCCCGAAACATTTGACGACGCGTTTAAATAAGTGAGTACTAGCTGTACCTTCATATCGACTTCTAGTTACCTTCACTACACGCACACCCGCCGCGGTGGTCCAGTATAGTTTGGGCTCGACTGCTCACCCGCAGGTCGCGGGATCGAATCCCGGCCGTGGCGGCCACATTATCGATGGCAGGAAAATTCTGGAGGCCCGTGTAGTACATACATAGGTTCAGGTGCACGTTGAAAAACCCCACGAGGTAAAAATTAACGGGGCCCTCCACAACGGCGTCTTTTATAATCATATCGGGGTTTCCGGACGTAAAACCCGAGTAATCTTAACTATATACACATCGCTGTCGAGACGCATGTGCGCAGCTGACACAATTTGCGCCGGTATGTTGAAAGACGTGTCCGAAAAATTATTGCTAGCTAGCTACGACTGCTGACGTCTTCTTTATCAATGATCGTCCGACCGTTATCACTAACGCAGTAAAAATAAGTTGCGGTATCAGGGTAAACATATGGGAAATGCTCCGCCATTACCTTCATAGTTACTGCTAATTACCTTGCTAGCCAAAAGTAAGGCTTAGTGCCAGTATTAATAGAGTGAACACGACAGCCGTGGTGCACTTATTTCCCGCCCTTAACTGGCCACTGATTGTTTATCTAATACTTTATTTTAGTTATTCGCTTTCTTCTTTCCTCTTTCTCTCCTTATTTCTCTTTCCTCTATCTCTTCCTTCCTCCTGAAAGAGTGAGCTGGTGTTCTGCCCCTCCAAGTGGCAGCTGCCGGCTCACTCTCTCCATCTTTCTTGTGTGTCCTTCTGTAGATGTGTATGCAAATCAAATAAATAATAAATTATATTTGTCAGACTATCGCCACTAAAGGAAATGCTACCATACGCAGCCATAGTTAGCAAATACTTCCAATGACGTCTTCCGGCGTGATTGTAAATATTGTACAAATTGCAATGGTATTGTGCGATAAATGCTATGGACCAGCCAAAACTCTGTCGGCTTGGCGGAAATTCGGATTTTTTTGTTCGTTTTACCTCTCGTATAGACAAAGTGTTACATTCAGTCGGTCACGTTAACGTACTGCCCACCAAGTCTCTTAATCGCGGCATACGTGAGGAACTTGCATGGATGACCTCCGATGATATGATTAACGCCACTTCGTTAAGTCATAATGAATGACTTTGGTAAATGAACACTGTAGTGTGATAATGACCGAAGTTCATAACCGGAGCGGACGTGACAGAATGGCACGCCAACCGGCAGTCGATTGTTAAAAATAACTTGCTACGCTCCGATTGCATAATTCACGATAGGCAGTACTCAAATTCTAACCATGCTATGCTACAGATACAGAAGGCTTTGCACTAGTTTTGATCAGTGTATATGTACTCAAGATGTGCAACCACATGGATAGATGTTCTAGTTTAAGCGGTTTCGCACTGTGAAAGCACGTGGAAGGGATTACTTCGAACTAGAACTATACGACGGCATTTCGCGGTGAATTTTGAGTATTTATCGAAACGGAGCATCTCATTTGATAGAAGTCGAACGCCTGCAGTGGTAGGACCCGAGGATATTCCGCATGTGCTGTTGAGCTCTGTGTATTGAATTGCAGTCACGGTGGTCACATTTTGATTGGAACTAAGTGAAAATCGGACGTGCTCGTTTTGGGTGAGCGTTTAAGAACACCAGGTGGTCAAAGCTTATCGTGCGTGAATCGCCACGGCCTGACTCAATGTCTGATAGTAACGATATAGTTACAGCGCGAGAACAAAACGACGACACAGAGACAAGAAGGACACGAAAGTCTGTGTCGTCGTTTTGTTCTCGCGCTATAACTATCGTCATGCCATACCAACTAGCCCAAGCTGCCACACTTTTAAGTCTGATAGTGGTTTGTACTCGTGAAACGTTAGCTTTCTTGTTTCTTCTCTAGATAACTAAGTGGCGAAAGCTTTTTGTTTTCGTTTTAGTGTTATTTTCACCTTTTCATACTCTGCTGACTCTAATAGCAACACGTGCGAATGCTACGCCATATTTTTGATTGCGGGGCAGCATTATTCACGTAATGTTCTTTTTTTCGGTATTTGTAGACAGTTTCTGACCTCCAACTGACAATGTTGCATTCAGTGAAGTGAAATTCTGTCCACGTGATTCGTGACTATGGTGTATATTGTAAACACAAGTTGTTGTTTTTTTTCTTCCAATCGTATAGCTCCGCCTGCTTGATTCTTTTGACGTTGTTTCTGAATGTAAAAGAAGACAATCGCGTTCTCACATAGCTGGGTACACTTGTTAATATCCGTCAGCCATTTGTATTCGCGGGTTCTTTAGGGCTACGAGGGATATTTCTTCTATCCCTGCAAAGTACTACTACACCCGTACATTCAAAAGTGAAAGGAGTACGTAAAGCCTACTTTTCCGCACAATATCTTGTAGTGCAGGTAAGCCAGCTTTGGCGGGCTTGAATAGAACTGAAAGAAACTGCTAGCGCACGTTTTTCATTGTCAATTTGGTTTCGCGAAAACGATTGTTTTCGCAATCAGCCTACATTGAAGTGCGGATGCTGTGGCAGGGAATCGAGCCCGTAACCTCGTCCTTCGCGGTTAAATTATTGTAATAGGCGAGAATACAAGCCCAAGCATACATGGTGAGAAGTGTGAAAACAAAACGGCAAGGCCCCAAACTGCGATAATTGGGCATGCGTGCCGTACGTGGAGTCTCATGCCGGACACAAATTGCCGCTGATTATGCATTCAATGTCGCCACTGTGTATCTCAACGCGAGTAAGTGTAGTGGCCAAATTCCGGTAATGACGTGCCGGATGGTGTGACCACGACTTTAAGGAATTTCTGCCACGATGTTATTGCGCGTGTCGTATTATTTATTTATTTATTTATTTATTTATTTATTTATTTATTTAGTGTTTTGTTTCATTGTGACGAAGGCCGGGCCCATGGTCTACATCTGAACAAGAGGTTTTCTCACGTGATGACGTCATTGGTGTGATGCCGTGGCACGAAGTCACAAGTCCTCGCTATAGGTCACGTCGTGATGTCACAAATCGTGCCACAATCTTGTCACGGGAGGATGACGCCGCAGAATGGCATCATTGATGACTTCATGCAACGTTGAGGTCATGCGATTCGCGGTACCTTTCGTTTATTCGATTCAGTTAAAGCTGTTTAGGAATACCGGACGGTCGAAACTTCCGAAGACCTCCACTATGGCGTCTCATTCATATAGGGTGGTTTTGGGACGTTAAACCACATTAACTATTATGTTATTACTGGTGCATTCAATAGTGAATTCATGTTGATGGCAGTTGTCAGAATTTTCGGCTGGCGTGACATAGGCGTCTATTTTAAAACCTCGAATAATAACGATTTCCTTGATCAGGGTTTAGACGGTCGAGTGGAGAGCACTGAGGTGGATGCTGACAGGTGCATACGCGATGGCAAAACATCTCCCGTAGTGACGTAGTTCTGAGCATATAAATGTGTCAGATGCTTTCCAGTAAACTTGTTGATGGTTCAGCGCCATGGTAGTACCGAAACTGCGTAGTAAGGCTAGTGTCGTTAAAGCGTATGGCACTATTTATCGGAGGTACATTGCCATACAAATCTCCTGTGCAGAGAGACTGCTCTAAGCAAGTGTGAGCCTCAGCAAATTCTGGTAAGATATTTTATTTTAGTATTAAGGTCAATTTTTTCCGTGGGGCACCTACCGACATCGACACCAACCCGAGGTCAGTCTACAAAAGCGTTGTGCTTCAGTAATTCTGGCGACTTCGCGTGGCAGTCTGGCTAGTTTTGATGACGCCTTAATTTCCAAAACGGCCGCTTGTGCGTCACCAACAGAGCCGTGGTGAGGAGTGGCCGTGGAAATCCCATATCTTGCGTGAGCACGTAGTAATTGACGTTTTGGCACGTGGCGAGAAGCTCATACCGTGTTGTGACATAAGGGTACGCTGTAGTAACCGAAACTAGATTCCAAAAAACATGTTGTAATTACTTTTCCAAGTTGCACTCACGACTTGCAGTACATTGTTTAACCTCTTGAGGACTTGGCCTTTCATTTGACAAAAAAAAAGAGGAAAATTTTCGTGTCAGCGCTGTTTTAACAAGAAACTCTGCGAGTATGTGCCACTGAAAGTAGGTATGTGCCAAACAACTCCTATGGTGCAAAATGGAAGTGAAGTTTATTAGGTAGGAAGAGGAAAGCGGTCGACAAAGAAAGAGATAAAGAAAGTAGACGTACAAACATCGAGATAACGAAATAAACAAAAATTGAATATAGAATAGAAAAAGAATAGAAAGATAGACAGCAATCTGTTCTCGTCAGGCTTGCGCGCTTGCTCGTTCGAGCTCTGCTGTTTACTCCAATTTCACAGACATGAAACTGACTAAATTTTTTTTCTTGCCTACCTCGTGACGGCCTGCTGCTTTCTTCCACCATCAGTTTTGTTGTTGTTGTTGTTGTTGTTGTTGTTGTTGTTGTTGTTGTTGTTGTTGTTGTTGTTGTTGTTGTTGTTGTTGTTGTTGTTGTTGTTGTTGTTGTTGTTGTACTATGGTTGCTAAATCACTTTGACGCAGCTCTTGCGTACCGCTATATTGTACACCAAAGCGTACAGGTCAAAGTCAGAAAAAGACGTACATGTTTTATTTTTGTATCTAGGCTTTTGCCATTGGAGAACCGTCGGCCATATCGTGCGTTTTTTACTGTACATCGATAC